AGATCGCTCGAGTACCTCAGACTGGCCTTGCGCTCCGGTAAACAGCGGAAACTTTAGTCAAACCGCTTTATCTAGCAGTGCAAACTCAGGCCACAGGATATTCTCGTGCATATATAGGCGCGTCGTAACGAGGCGGACGATATTTTTCATTCCGTATTCTCAGACGTAACAAACAATACTGACACCCTTTGTAACGAGCTCGAAGATGTTCTTACCGTACTTCCTGACGCGAGTGCCATTCACGCACGTCGCTCGGTTAAACGGATCGAGTAGGTGTGCACGCATGCACTATCTCCCAACTAGGAAAAGACCGATGCTTAGCAAGCGCACAGCCCGGAAAACCATAGGTTACACAATGGTGCGTGGCGCTCCGTTTCCATTCCGAGCTCGAACGGGACGGGAGTACAGGGAAATGGGAGGCCGGCGATATTAAGTACATTATTTCAAGTACCGTTCCTCTTACTTGTTATGCCGGCACCGTGCGACCGACGCCCGGCACCGGCGTCGCATTTAGAGCACACACCGCGCCGCGCCGCATCGGTGCGGCGCGCGGTGGTCAGCTACGCTAAATCCGTGAAATTCCCCTCGTTTCAGGTATAACGTTCAACAAGTACTATACCACGCGCTCAACAAGTACCGTATCGAGAATATATCGTTTAACGCGATGTAGGTTAATAGGCTTTTCAGTCGTATAGCAATTGCTAAAAATAATATTAATTAGCAGTTACTCCATGTGAACTTAGTTTCGATCTAACTGGACTTGACCCAGTATCATCAACGTTACGAACGTTATATTAGGTGAAGTAAAAAGTTCTGAGCCTTTTTTGTCTTTATTTCGATGAAATTTACTTCTTGAGACCAGCCTTATGCAAATGGTTCCAAACGGTTTTCTGGCTAATCTTCAGTTCCTGGGCAATAAAATAAGTGCTCGCATGCCGGTCTGACTCGACGATTTCCATGATTTTATCAACGTTTTCGACGATTGGCCTACCAGAGCGTGTCTCATCTTCGACGTCCATATTACCAGAACGGAAACGTTGGAACCACCGCTTTGCTATTGCATTCGATACTGTATTGGATTCATAAACAGCACAAATTTTTTTGGCCGCCTGCATCGCTTTTTCCCCTTGGTCGTAGTGGTACTGAATAATGTATCGAATTTTCTCGTTTTTTCCTCCACTTTGGAACGCACTAACACACAACTGGATTCACTCATCAAAAAATTGTCACAAGACTTTTTTTAAGGCGTTATGTCGCCTTTAATTTGCCGTATAGAATGAGAAGATACAACGTATACATCGTAAGATATGGCTCACCAAAGCCATGTAACGAAAAAGGCTCAGAACTTTTTACTTCACCTAATATTTCGATTACGATTCGAAGAATTTACGTATTGCTAAATGATTAAGTCATTTCATTATTTTATAGAAGAGCCTTGAGATTCTCTGGATTCCAAAATGATTAGTATCATTAAATTGTAGAATTTGTAATTTTATTTCGTACGCATAATATTCAACGTGGAGTATTTCGATTTGAAAACTGAGGATTCGGTAATATCGTCTGTGAATCTAATATCGAGGGCATTATCCCGTTCGTCTAGCGTGCTCTCGGGGATCGGGACCATCGTTTTCACTCGCGATACGCTTGAATACGGTTCCCGAGCTTGAATCGTACGAGCCCCAGGAAGGCGACCTGGGGTAATCGAAGGTAACAGCGAATTATCGAGCAGCTGTCCGAGGTTTCTCTGATCGTCGATATGGAGCGTGGGCAAAAGGAAACGTTACGTTAGGTGAAATCGTTAGGGAAATTATTAGGAGCCCCGCCGCGCGTGTTCTTATCTACTCTTCATTACGTCGTTAAGGTATTGCAATTACAAATAGACATACACTGATATCAGCTATTGGTATGTTATTTCAGAGTGTTCACCGTATGTTGATCTGGCAATGAGATTTTCATACATGTTTTTATATGTGAAACTAAATTCTGATAGTATGGTAATAGATTGTGAGAACGATGACATAGAAAAAAGTAGAAATCTTAGATTATGTGGCTTTAGAAAAAGTTAGTGTGGATTACTTTTATTAGCTATTATCTGATGGGAAGGAAGGGTTATCCCTATCGAGATAATTGCTACTTCTGATCGATTTATGAATCAAAGATTGATTCGGTCAGGGGTTCGTTGATAGCTCGGGCGTCGTCGTGAGGCTCTCGCGTGTCCAGAGGTCGTACGCTTTTGTAATTTGCGTTAAGGACAGTGGCGAGGCGGGCGTGTAACGACGTCTCGTGTTTAGCGAGCTTTTCGTTATCGCATCGATCCACACTGTATCCACAGGTGACTATCCTCAGGGGGAAGGGTTGATTTTAGAAACGCTAACGATTTCCTCTAGCCTCAATTCTAACGCGGTCGTAAACCGGTCTCGTAAATTTAGCGATGCATCGGTTGTTACGCCGCGGGAAAGAACGCTGACCGTGCTCGGCTTCCACGATCCTATCCAGAACGCATTAAATTATGTAACAGGGAAATCAGATAGCGCATCGATACACCCTGGGCGCAGTGTGCTTCTCGTTGGCCAGTCTGTTGGTTCCGGCTGCCGTTAGTACGAGAAACCTATTACGCTATTACTTATTTGAGCTCGCCGAGTTTCAAAGAAATATTCCACGCGGATATAATTAGTTGTATTAAACGATCGACAAATCATGTCGGTTCTCGTATCCCGTGTTTAATTATCATCCGACGAAACGGATGAATTTTGTTAATTGGATTAATTGTCAATTAATCTAAACGACTTAGATCGTGGATTTCAATCCGTGGTACTCGATCGCTTTGATTTATCCCGATTTGATTAAATTCTAATGGCCGCTGGCACGTGAGACGACCGTTTTATCGCCTCGTATATCCGCGGGGCCCTGACCATCCTTATGCACGAAGACAAAGTACACGTATCAGGAATGCACGGCGACGTGCACCGGCATACGGTAGCGCGGCGGCGCGGCATTAATAATTCATAGCGGCGCGAAACGGTGGAGCGGGAAGGGCTAGGCTTTGGGGAATTATAAATATTTAGATCGTTCCGGAGATCGCCGCGAAGAAACGCTGAAACGCCGTTTTGTGCCCTTTCTTCCGTGGTTTCCTTTTTGCCGCCGTTTCTTCTCCGCGGTCTTCCTCGACCGATAAACCTCGCCCGTTACATTCTGCGTGCGTGACTCCACTTTTTAGCCATAAACGTCTTATTTCTTTCCCTACCGCTTTTTTGCCATATTTTTCCTTTTTACGTTCCCATATTTCACTCATGAATTTCATCCGGCGAACAGCGCTCGGCGTTCTCCATGGGTCATCGATAAACGGGCGCAGTGATATTAAAAATCAGAGACGGGCCGATGATGAACGGCCGCCGGTGTTTCGAGTGCCAGAATCGATGACCCGTGAGAAAAGCTTTCGAGTGGATCTCGAAACGGCGCGACGGCGGCGGTGAAGAACGACGGGCATTGTGCGTGGACGGAAATTCGAATGAGGACGGGGTTTACAGAGTTGATACTAAGATCAGGCGGCGTTTTACGCAATAGGAAAACACGGTTTACGGGCACGGTTTCGGTGCGTGGGATCGAATTCTGTGTAGCTTGGCGCTTTTTATTACCCGCTTAATGCCACGGCTGAGCGCGATGTTTTACGCAATTCCGGCCGGTGCAAAGTGAAACGCCGCATCTTATCCGCTTAGAAACAGTCGCTGCCACATTGTTCAAACCTTGTATCCTGTTGCTTAGCCTCGCTATCTCCGTCGTTAATCCCGTTTTCCGTGCTCGACGTATCCTTTTTTTGTTCACCTGTTTGCTGGCTCCTTGATCGACCCATTGATTTATACACGGTAGCGTGCAATCGCTCACTCGACTTTACACTATAATTATTTTCTTATCTTACCTCGCCACAATGTATTTTATTTAACTCGCTGTAACGGACGCCCGCGGTTACCCCGGGGTTTCAATCTAAACCTGCTCACCGGAGGTGTGCGCTCGTACTATTATCTTTATTGGTTATTAAAGAAATTACTTACCGGGTAACTACGGGCTCGACACAGACGTTATTCGATATCAAACGAACACCTCCCGCGGTGAAATCAACTTTTCTCCGCGCAGAGCCCGCCTACCCCCTTTCCGTTCGACCCAGGTCGCTGGCTCGGTCTCCTCTCCCCTTCACGATAAGTCGCATCGTTCGCCAGGCTTCTCTTATTGCCTGACCCGACAGCCTTGACCTAGGCCTTCTCCCGTGGGGGTCGATCAATCAATGGAAAGACTACCGCAGCTCGACGTCGACTAATTACGTAAACGGTCCGATAACCGATGGTTCGTTCGAGGTATTTCCAGTGCATCGTTGCTGGCTCGTATGAAACTTTTCGATGACACGACGAGTCGCGGGATCGATCGTTTAACGACGGCATCGACATGGTCGATCATGCATTCAGGGTAAATCGATAAAAATTTTATCGTTACATCCAAAGCGTTCAGTCAACACATTCTTACAAAGGGGAATAAATGCGAATTTTCAAACAGCTCGGTCCTCGTCCGGGTAAATCAATACACACTGGGAGAAAATCAGAAATAATGATAATACATAATGAAACCGTGATTCGACTTCGTTTTCGTCGGCTCGTTCACGGCTCGTCGATAGTATAAATGAACCTTTTAACCGGTACAATGCAACGGTGATTACACGAGCTTCGCTAGGGTTACCGAGCTTTCAATTGTTCGTTGCGTAATGGTTCGTTCGATCGACGATAATCTGCTCGCAGCGATGAGAAGTGCTTCCCTATTAGCTTTCGGTTACGTTCGGGTACGCGTTACCTTTGCCTCTCGGATAGAATATTAAGTCGATCGATGACGGTTAAGCTGTGAGGCAAATTGAAATTCAATAAGCGGCCGCACGGCGAAATCAATAGCGCGGTTTGCCCGTACTCTCCGATTCGTTTCCCTCGCTAACGTCTCCTCGCAATTTTCATGGGTTCCAGACGTTCGATGGATTAAGCGGAACGCGCCGGTGAGCAGCAGGAGAGGTACCGAGGACCCAGCCGAAAGGGAATCGCGAAGACGACGTTTGCAACGGTAGAAAGCCCGAGTAACGATGTAAAGGACAATGTAACACCGTTCAGATAACTGCAACGCAAAGGCAAACGCTAGAAGGGAAAGGATAATAATCGTCGAAGAAAAGGCGGCCCGATCGATTGGTTCCGTTGAAAGAAGTTGCCCGATCGATCGTTTCCGTTCGAAGGTACGCGCCAGGATCACCTGGCTGCTTTCTTTTTGTCTATTTCTCTATGGAACGAACCGCTAGATCGCCACACGATCGCTCGACGCCGCCTACTTTCTATCGCCCTGGAACGACTCCCGAGGTGCACCAGTAAAATCCACGAGCAAACGAGTTTTACGATTCTCAAGCTGCGAAACGCAACGAAACGACCAACCGTAATTACGGAGAATAGGATCGAGGATTTTGTTTCTTTATTTTTCCCCGTTTTATTTCGTTTTCCTTCTTCTCCCGCTTGCCGTCTGCCCAAAGAAAACTCGAATCAGCAGAGTCCGCGTCTGGACGATCGTCTGGCGAATGGTTCCAAAGCGCACCGCAAACGGTTTTTTTACTTTGCAGCTTTATCGGACGGTGGTTATCGTAACCGGAGGACAGTGTCGCGAAGGCGGTAAACAAGGACGAGGCGGCAACCGGATTCGTGGGACGCGACACCGGTCACCCTTGTATCATAAGTATATTTTAGATTAGATCGAATTAAATACTTAGCACTCGCGGTCGTCGGAATCGCGACGCTAGAGCTCGTGCATCGTGCGAGAAGAGAGGATCCAGGCCGGCAGAGGAGTTCGAGTCGTACGTATCCGCGCGGTACGGGTGTAAAATCGTGGCGAACGGAGCGGGGAACAGCGGCGAGATGTACAGAGATCCGAACAGTTCCCCGGGAACCAGTATCAACACGAAGGGCGACGAGGTCGAGATCGTTAGCAGATTTTTAGCGCCTCTGTGCGCGAGGGATGAGGCTGCCAGGAACATCGCCCTGGCGGCCGCCAGGAACACAGTCGAAGGCTGGCTCGGAGGGGTCGGCAGTCCGAATCACTGGGACGACGCCGGTGAAATGGAAGAACCGGAGAGCCTGGAGGGAAAGTTCAAGAGCCAGGACGGAAGGTAAATGCGATACTATCTATAAAATTATTCTCTAGTCATAGATTTCGTTTTCAAACCTGACAAGAATAAATTCATTTAATGTTTTCCTTCGTACAACGGATTCATAGACAACATGTTTTGATAAAATCATTAAACGAAGTATTGTATTTACTTCGTATTGACTCGGTCTTTGTATGCCTGTGTACGCGTCTTGCATCAATATCGATAAAACCGTACGCGTCAATATTGAGAAAGTTTCTATCTCTCGCAACTATACACTTGACTCTCCGGACAGAAACGTCGAATGCACCGTGTACATTCGATTCCCAATAAGGAAAACTTTTCCATCGTGTGTAATCCTTAAACAAGGCCTTAGTCGTGCCACTGATCATTCATTTTTTTTGGGTTCGACGACTTCTCTTAATTTTAGAACGTTCCTATAATATACATACATCTATCAAGACAAATTGAAGTTATTCGATTACGTTGTGTTATCACTCACTTCTGAAATTCCCTGGAGGTAAATAGAAACTCGCGGAGATTTATCACGCATTCGCTACGGGAGAAAAATATTTACCCGTCGACGTAATGATCGGTCGGGAGTCATTAGCCGGTCAGAGAAAACTCGGCTCTCGAATAACTCCCCATTCCCTTTAGTCCGAATTTTTTCCCCGCCGGAATCTCGCCGTTGATCGAAACTCCTTCGTTATCTTTCGCGAAGATACGACATGAGCATCGAGCGTTCGTCGAGCAAGTCGGCGCCGAAGAACGTGCAGCCGCTGCAGCCGCCGTTGATCCAGGACACGTTCAGGACCGAGGGTTTCTTCCCGCAAAGCGTCACGGAGAATCCTGCCTTCCTGGAGGACAACAGCCTCGAGTGTTCCGAGAGATATCCATCGGGTTCGTTCGATTGCGTCGACGGCCGCCTCGGGAACGAGTACGGGACGCCGAACGAGAGGCGAAGATACGTCGGCGACGTGGATAGCTACAGGTCTGGCCACTCGACGTCGTCCGACGAAGGCAAAGGGTTCAAGATCGACCAGGACAGGTGTCTCAGGCTGAAGGACAACTCCGAGGCCCGGTTCGGCTCGAGCAGCGAGAGCGAGAGAAAATACCTCGGCTCTTCGTCGAACGAGAGATTGAACGAGGCGAGCCTCGAGGACAGGCCCAGGACGAAGAACTACGTGAAGGTGAAAGGCGCCAAGCAGAAGCAGCTGGAGGATGACGAGCTGGACTCTGACACCAGGATCTATGGTAAGAGCCCCAAGTTCGACGAGAATCTCGGCGCGAATTTCGATCGCAGGAACCTGAACTACCGCCCGAAGGATGACCCGATGCAACGCGATCGCCTATGCTACGACAGCGTCGACGACGTCTCCTTCGACGAAACGGAGATGACGATCAGGAACCGCGACGGAGTGGTGTTCAATACCCTCGACGGTTTCGAGAACGAGAACGCCAACGAAATTTTCCATCGGCCGGACGACATACGTATACAGGAGGATCTGAAGCTGAAGAACTTCGAGATATACACCGACGATTCGTTGGACGACGGTCGGCAGCGTTGCAACCGCGCCGAGCAGCAGGATTACTTGCGCAAGAACGAGGAGCGGAAATTCAGCGCCGGCCAAATCAAGAGACCGCTCTCGCAGGACGAAGACGTCTCCTCGAAGAGCGGCAGAGTGTTGGAGAGTCCTGACGTGACTCCTGGGGACGTCGGGAGGCTGCTTAATCTGGGCAACGCTCTGGACGGACCGAGACAAGCGCAGGCGAACAAGTACTTGAGCCTGGTCACGTTGCATCTGCCGGTGATATTGAGGCTCAGCGTGAATTGCCCCTTCCAGAATGTCAGGATCAAGTGCGCCGAGATCCTCGAGATGGTTAAGGTGAGCGTATATTAAATCTTTAATCATGGTGCGATAACCGGGACGTAATCTATATTCACATAGTCCGAGGGATTAGTAGTTTGATATGAACCCCTTGCCACGGAGATTGGAGGATCAGACCCTCCGAGATCGAGTCATTTTATCCTTTAAAATTGAATTTACTCACACGCGTAAATTTGAACGGCGCGCGAAGTTTTGTGAAAATAAAATTAGGTGGAGGTCGCGTCGGGGTTCAACAGCCGAAATTTATTCTGGATAAATTGGGTCCCCGGAATATGCTTTTACATCTTCTGAGTCACATTCGTTTTACGAGCGCCTCGCTCGGACTCGTCTCGGTGTAACCATTTAGAAACGATAAACGCGAAGCAATTTTATGTTCTCTTGTAGAAGTCGTTCGTAAATAAACGACCGTCGGAATGGTCGTGCCGTTTTGAGTAGGGGCTATTTTTATTTCCTCCGGCATCGAGAAATAGTATCCGCGCGCAAACTTCATCGATAGCATGCGTGTCTGTTCGCGTCTCGTGGATCGGGATGAAACCGATGCGGTTGCGTTAATGGAGTTGTTTTAACAGTCTATTTATGGAGCGGACCTAAAAATATGCCGGCCATTTCGTCTTGCGCGGCTCTAGACACGGCTAAAACCGCGTTTAGCGATCGGTTTATCAGCTGGTGATCTTTTTAAACCGATTTAGACGATGATACGTCTCTTTAAAAATAACAAAGTCTATTTCGCTATTTTCATCCGCGTCTTTTTGGACGTTATTTTTACAAGATCGTTACGTAAAGTCTGATCGATGTTTCCGTGTGACTCACGGCGATTTAAACGAACTGCACTTGCGCGTAATACAATACCACTTAGATTGTATTATTTTCATCTCAATCTTTTTTTAATATGTGATTCAATTAAGTGGCTGTAGGTTGTATTCATGAAATATTTTTTTTAAACGAAAAAAAAAATATTCGCCCAATGTGGGGCTCGAACCCACGACCCTGAGATTAAGAGTCTCATGCTCTACCGACTGAGCTAATCGGGCACTTAGGTACCCGGGCCACTACCGTCTACTTGTAGCGTATCTCGAGAGCTTTTTGCCAGAAATAAAGTCTTTAAAATGTGTAATATTTGTTACAGGACAGGGGACTTCCAGTGCCAATGCCAGCCTTCGATGGACCCAGTGCCTTCGTCCCTACATCCGAGGTGAGTACATACTCCAAACTCTGATCGTACCATTTCCTCGGTATTTTAATAATCATTATTTTTATAATGTTGTCTTGGGAACTATCATGGCTTGTCTCTTTTAAAAGACACAATACGACAATATCGATCAATTTCATGATTTGCTTTAGGCAAGAGTTGTTTGCGTTACGAATTACCCAATCATTATTGATCATGATTAATATTAATGAGACAAGACAGTGACAGATGTACGAAACGTTGCAAACTCTGAATCTGGGAGAGGTAGTCGATTTTCGGTTTTAATGAAATTTGCATATAAATTGTTGGAATAAGAAAAACAAAATGATTAAAGTGCGTGATGTAGGACATCAAACTAGCGCTTGACCTATAAGTTTTGCATTACGATTGGTAGCTGCCGTGTAAAATCGTGTCTGACGATTGGTTGAGAGGAGGACGATGCCATGGATTGGTTCACATTTGCTTGTCCCCTGGTAGCCGCCAATTTAGCCTAATTAAGAACAATTAGGCACTCCTGCGCTTAAACCGCGGCTGTTTAGAAAGTGATATACCTTCATTACCGACCGAGTAAATGATAGATAGAGTTTATTTAACAAGATTAATATGACGGTATGACGATATTAGCAAAATGCATCGTACAGTATTAAGAATTTGTTAAATATTTTGAGAAAAGGTGTTTGAAATATCTGCTACGGTGATCGACAGATGTCGGTAAAGGCTAGCGATCGTTAACGAGGCAATTGCCGCGGCAATTAAATTCAAAGGCTTGAATCGTTCAATCAAATCAGCTGTTCTTCAAAATATTTTTATTCCCCTTTGATGTCTAATGAATTCCGATAAAATCGGAGGAGTGTCACGTAAACAGCTAAATGTTCAGTAGATCGATCAGTCGTGTCACAATACAACCAGATAAGACATCGCGCGAGTCATACATTAAGTAGGAAACGTGTTACATTGATATTGAACACTTGAATAAAAATCACTGTTCGGTATCTTGTTTTTCCACCGGATTAACACTGATACCGTAAAACATTTCGTACATCTGCCAAAGCATACGTTCATTCTTCGAATAATTTTGTCAGCTTCTGCTGATGTTAAATCTGTTTCATTTGCAACATCGAACATACACGTCCTTCGATGTCGTGCCGCGTTGCAATCTGTTCTCGCAATTCGCATTTTCGTGTTGGTTGAATTTTTTATCAGTGTTCTCACTCTTAAATCACCGAAGAAGAGCAAAAAATAAGTCGAAGGTAAGTACAGAATAAAGTTCTTTGTCATCGTATAATTTAAGTATGCACGCACGATAGCCTCGCTCGCGGATATTATTGACCTATACCACTTAATTCTCCACGTTTCCACCGTTTTCCCTTTCATTTCGTTCTATAAATGTCGCACACATTCTTTTTATCTTTTTAACGACCTTGATCTCGACTCCTGACCTTTAAGCGACTCCGTCACTACCGCGGAAGCAAATAGGTTTTGCGTAACGTCGAGTTCTAGAAAAAGGAGCCGCGGGCTCGCGTGCTTCCGAGTTCGACCGAGCGACTTGACAATTTCATCGTAGTTCATTAACATTGAATAAGCATGCATCGGCCGGGTTAATACATATTCTTAATGCCTTTTTTCAGTATTTGATCGAAATGCATCAGGCGTTTCACGTGTGCCTTTTTTTTGCGGTCGCGTATCAAAGTATCACCTCAAGCGATTATATAAAACCTCAAATGATTACTGCCTGTAAGGACTCTTTTTTTTTCCCTTTTCGTTGGATCGGATTGCTTGATCAATACTCCGCGTGAGACTCGCGTGCATCGCGGTTCTGGCTGTTTGTTTTGCGAACACGCTCAGGTACTCCCGCGGTAATTATAGCCCTACAGTGTGAGAAGAATGAAAAGGAAGAATACGGTGAAACTCGATAGCTTCGTCAATTCTTCGTTTGTCTTATTATACTGATTAATTATAGCGCAACGACTTTGCCATCAATCTTGTTACTATACGTACATCAAATTATTCTATTTTCAATTTGATTTATAATCGTGGACGGAATAATGAATTTTCGAAACTCAAATATGAGCAACAAAACGTTTCGTATGAATTTAACAAAAGAATAAATCATTCTTGTAATTGTTCCCAGCTGACACGCGGCCTTCGGTCACGTTTCTTCGCGATCGATAGAGTGTGCTCGGGGTTCGTTTCATTCCGGAATTGAGGACCCGAAAAATTCGATGGATAAACGTGCGAAAATTCGTGGCAGCGGCCAATCTCTCTCGTCCACGTGCTTGTGCAGCGGAATTCGTAGCCCGTGCTGTGATCGAGCCAAGTTCAAACTGGCCTGAATTTCGAACACGGTATGCGATTTCTGCGGTATCTTGGAGGGCTGCCCAAAGTTTGCACGGGAGAAAGAGCCGATGTCGGGCCAGGCAGGGGCGTTGGGACGGAAAGGGTGGACGGTGGCACACGTAGCCGGGTCATTGGGAGTCGTAGCCCGGTCCACCGACCGCAAGTGGCTGCAAGTGTCTCGTATACAAGCTCCATTAAGGATCTAATTGAATCCCTTTCTTGCCGTTTTCTCTCCTCGATCGCCTCTGTTACGCTCGGATTCGCGTCGGCAAACGGCATCCCCGACGCTAGTGTCGTTCGGTTAATCGCGTTACGATCACGTGAAAAAATTCTCCTTCGAATTCGCGTAATTACATTAGTACGTCCCGCGGGATCTCGGGTCGCGTATAAATAATCGGGGTCGCTGACTTCTTCCTATACGTCTTTCAACTGCCTGTCAGCTATTCGCCGTTTGAATCACGTCGCGTTGAATCCGCACGCATTGTAAATTACTCGCGTCAGTCCGAGCGCCGTGTAGTCGTTTCTGATGGTAGACGATGCGTTTCGAATGATTTCAACGCGTTCATTGTCCCTCCGTAGATTATTTATAATCTGCTATCAATTTCTGTTTCCTATTATCGTATTTTATCTCGCGTAGATCTTAATGAGAATAGTTCATCGCACGTGAACATGAAATTCTCATTGCTACGACAGACAGGATTGTCAATACGTGTCCAGATGGACTTAGAATCTTTGCCTTCTTTCTTAACCGTGAAATGCTAACACGTCCAAGGCCCGGCGGCAGTCTACGTTTACGCGGTGCGAATTTAAAAAACAGAACGCTCTAATGTACGTATCACGATTATGACGTTCGACGTGTGTAGGGACGAAGTAGAAATAGCGAAATCCCTCATGTAAATCCTCTCTACCACCCACGCGGTCCGCGCTCGGTTTGTAAGCCTTCGCGTAAATAACCAGCTGCTACCTCCGGAATACCTATGGGAATATTATCCCAGGAATATTTCCAGAGAAACGAAAGAATGGCACGTGAGTGGGGGGGCGTTCGGTCCAATCTGTCTTTTCGACGGTACGTTTTCATATTTTGTTCAATTTCCTGGTCGCTCACAAAATGTTTATTGTGCGCTGTTGTCGGACACGTGTCAAACAAGCGTATAAATTTTTCAACCGTTTCCACGCCGGCCTTATTCTACATTGTTCTGTTTTATTTGACCCCGTCAATTGTTTGCGCGCGGCTCGTCGAACGTATTTTTCGAGAGGAAACCCGTCCGTTACATTTCCCGCGCGCCGTTAAAAAAAGCAACGATTTCCCCGAGGATTTTAATTGCCGGACCAACAATTCAGTACGTCGATAAACAGCCTCGATGGCAACGTGTAAGGAATTTTTCATTTACCAGGCTCCCTCCCTTTCTCTCGACGTTTCGATCTAATCTCGGGCAAGGTTATCTTTGGTGGCTTGTTATATAATATCGCGTTGCGTCGGGAAAAAAAAGGAGGCTACCGTAACAGGAAGCTGTATCCATACACGTGTGGCTGTAAGTTTAGAAGGAAAGGGGATTAAATTAAAGGGGACGGATGGCGCGTAATAAGGGGTAGAGGGATAGACGAGAAGAAAATGGGACGTGGAGGTCAAAGAGAAATTGGGAAGATCTCTGTCCCTCGGGACGGATTCAGGGGGAATGGTAATCAGTACAAGTACTATACGACGTCTTATGTATGTGCCTACTTTCACGAGGCATCTATCAGTAAACAAGGTCAATCATTTTCTCGGGGCCATTTACCATCTCTAGAAGCTGATTTATGCCAATTATTTATTCAACCTATTATCGATCCCTCTTCTCTGCTCTTATATCATCGTCCCTCAGTCGAGAATATTTTTTAATCCCCTCGCTGAACGAGTTCATTTCGCATGGATCTTCTTTGACGGTATCGTCTCATCGCTTCTCGTCGCCTGCACTTCCAAGTCATTGGTCATTATGGCCTGACGTGTCTTCCTCTCCGCGCACATTAGTTCCTCCTAATCTATAACAAGATAGCCGGTAATGGTTTCACTGGCTATCAGCTTGACATACTCGGAGTTAATTGCGATCCGCGGTCACGGCAGGTTTATTTTCACCGCAGCTTCAATTACGTTTGATATTTGCTCGTCGTCGTCACGATATCGCTTCAACTCTGACCGTTTCTCAATCGCATTTCATGGTTAACTTAAATAAAAAATAACTCGCCGACTTGATTTCTTTTATCTAAGCGATCGATAGAAAATCGGGATGGCAGCGTGTTATCGTCTCCCGAGTCGTTATGAAAACGCGGGAATCCAGGTTAGTGGCAACCACTGCTTGACACGATTGCCGAGGTTCCACGGATTCGCAACTCGCCTTACCTTACGAAGGAATTTACGACTGCGTTACACGGGGCCGCTGTTAAAAATCCGAATGCGTTTGTTGTCCGCTGACGGGTTATCGCACGGGACGCGGGGAAGCGTCTGCGCAAAGATAGTCGTGACGTTCCTTGAACCGATAAGCTTATTTCTTCACTTTCTCGATCGATGTGTCCAATCCAGCAAGATAGAATTTTACACAGCGACGTCTTGCATGTTTTAATATTTCCATTTAATCTTGTAATTGCTCGAAGTACAAGTATTTTCCATTTGGGTCGATGGGTATGAAATGTTTTGTTCAAGCACGTGGATTCTGTAGGATGTCATGTATTTCATTCTAATTTCAGTTCGTAATTAAACCGCCGCAAACATCGATGTTGACCAGTTTTCGAAACTAGTTTCCTGGTACCGTTATCAGTTTCCTCTGCTAAAAATTGTCGATCGAAGAATAGACGAAAACAGCGTTGAGGACACGTCGGTCGTTCGCCAACCAATCGGTCCTCGGTTCCAAGAGGAACGGCGAATCACGAGGGTCGTTTAACGGCGGGGATAGCAACCGGTAGGTAGAGTCCGTCGGTCTCGCGTCTGTTGCGCGTTCACCAGCTTCCTCCCCCTCGCCGTCGCTCCCGTCCGCGACATCGCATCGCTCTTCGCGGGTGTTCATTCGCGTGTCAGACGTGCTTGAAGTAGGACTGCGCGACTCCCGTGTACGTACCATCGCGTTCACACGCTTCCTTCCGTCTCTCTTCCTCGCCCCCGCGAATCTGTCAACCGTCGACGAGGCCAGCCTGTGGTTCCACGTGCGCGCGGTACACTTCCGCCGGTTTTCACATCGGGAGAGGACTCACGTGTCCGGCCACGCTCGTGCTCTGCGCTCGCTGCCTCCCGCATCAGGTACGAAAACACGCTCTACATGTCCATCGGCTTTTGTACAGTAGGAATCGATCACTCTTTACGTTTGCGACTTCGGTGGTAGCTGGCGAGGTGGAAAGCTCGTATCCCGTTTGTTAGCGATTGTTCTCTCGTACTGCGACGTTAGGTTTAAAACTATGTGGCCTATACAGCGTGACACGGTGCGTGCTTATTTGCATACGATGGCGCAGCGCCTTTCTCGTTCGCGTCCTTGCAATTTCGTACTTCCGCGATGCGCTGAAAATAGCGAGTCGTGGCAATGGAAGAATCGAAATAACGAAACGTTGTCTGCTTCCTCTTCTGGATTATCCAAGCTTATTTGTCTTCAAGGTCGAGCAGCTCGAGCTTATTTGCTCGTCTCGCGATTACTCCCGCTACAGAATTTATTCGTGGATTAACAATGCGCAGCCGGCGAATCTTGTTGCTGCCGATATTTTAGAGCGTGATTGCCCGTGATGGAATTCCGGGATTTAAAACGGAACCGCGAATTTGTTCGGATCGCACGAGTCCCACGGGATCCCGGGCTGCGAATTTCCCCGATAACAAGCGCGGTTCGAAAAAACGTCAGCCCCGTTTTGTTACGAAGCGGCAGCGTGTTTGACTGCCAGCCATTCAAGACGTAGGAAC